CAACTCTTGGACTACTCTTACCAACGAATAGAGGGATCACCGGTTCCATCATAACGACCCCACGGCTGAAAGGGCGAGCATGTTTGGTGTGACGGGGATTCGAACCCGCGACTCTCAGATTGTTGCAGTTGATATAAATGTTTAAATACATTATTCTCACCAGCGATTCCACAATTTGGAAAATTGGGAAATTTTGTTACCTGACAAAGTAAAGAATGTTGATATTTTTTATAACTGTATTTTTCAATGCGTCGTTATCACGTTTATTGGCTTTGCAATGGCCTGGTGGTGTTCGACTCGTAATATGTGGGTCGCGGATTCGAATCTCGGTCACCAAATATACTCGCTCTTTCAGCCGTTGAGGCGTTATAATGTGATGGTCAATCTCACTATTCGTTAGTGAAAGAGTAGCCCAGGAGGATTTCCATGATTAGAAAAAAATGTTGTTACCTAACAAAGTAAAGAATTTTTTATATTTTTATAACTGTGTTTTTCAATGCGCCGTTCACATGTTTATTAGTTTGGCAATGGCCTGGTGGTTAGTATGTTCGACTCGTAATATTTGGTTCGCGGATTCGAATCCCGATCACCAAATATGCTCATCCTTTCAGCTGTTGAGGCGTTATAACGTGATGGTCAATCTTACTATTCGTTAGGGAAAGAGTAGCCCAAGAGTTGGTGGTGAGTGGTGTTAACTAGCTGCCTTCCCTCTTGTCTATTACTGCTAAATAAGGGACGGCTAACGCAGATAGCCCTCGAGTAGCTTTGCACAAAATTCAAACCAAACAAACTTGTATTTATTTTTTTTTTTCAGGAAGAATAATTATGACATAAGAGCTCGGAAATGTGTTTAGCCGATGCGTAAAATATTACCACAACCGTTTATGAAGTTGTTTTTTTGTGAATGGATTTCTAACACAGCAAATGTGTATTCAACACCAAAACAGAGATAACTGTCCCCCAATATGTTTGAATGATTTTATATTACCAGTACAGAAATAATTAACTTTTTGAAACGAAATGTATTTAACTGGGTTTTATTTCCAAGCACGACAATATTGCTATAAAGCATTTTTACAGTTTTTTATTTAAAAGTTGTGTTATAATTGAAGTCCTAAAAATTACTAATGTTTTTTTTTCTTTCTTTAATCATTTCTATCGGCACTTCTCTACGATGTACATACCCTGAATGTGAAATGTTCTTTGCCATGGCAACTATGTGATAAACAGCCCTTAATGATGATAGACAGGTAAACACATTTGTTTCATGTTACATCAGGGATTTTATTGGTATTATCAAATATCTTTCTAGTGTAATAGTGTAAAAGACATAGATAACAATATTTATGTTTTTGTTATGTGTGAAAGGTTTTTGTGTTTTACTATAACATTTTCAGTTTGTGTGTGTGTGTGTGTAGAACGAGTTTTTATATAGTTGTTTTGCTGATATTAAATTATATATATATATGTAATATTTTACAGACTATTGGGTCACCACACTAAGAAATAAGTCACGTAATTCAGAGTTATGCCTATTGTAAATAGTGAGTGATATTAATCATTGAATGAACGCGATTGGCAAACATAAAGCTCTCATATCAGAATTGCTAATGACGTAAATACAATAGCCAACCTTTGGATATGAGAATTTAGTGGGCGTTAGAGTTTGTTACGTTTCATTGTTAAAAACTCTGGTTGAACATTATTTTCTCAATACTTCTTATAGATTAATGGATCCCAACCTCGCTTTAAATAATCAAAGTTATATAATAAATATTTTAAACGTATAAACGAAATATAAAAAGAGCAATATGTGAGAAACAAAAAAGGGGCTGCGATAAAACGTTATGGTTTTCGTAAGTTCATGTTGCATTAATTTTTGATATTATTCTTAAACGTAGTAAGAAAACACTTTATGGAATTTTATTATCCCACTTTTCTGTGTTCAGTCTGAAACATTAAAACACATTTGTATGATAATTACATCGACAGAGACGGTATCTCAGGGTAGGCTTACGTTTTTGGCAATTAATCTGAGGCCACAAAAGTAGTATTACTCCTTTGTTTCACTCACAATGTTTTGTAACGTGAATGTTTACAATGTAGCTACGAAAACAATTTATATTGAGAGAGAAATGCTTTGATGAAAGAAGTCGTTTCTCTCTCTCCTGCTTGAGGATTATAATAATAATAACAAAAGTATTTGATATGTAACCTTTTTTTCTTTGCATGTTATGTGTGTCTGTGTAAGCTTTCGAATCACTGTTATCACCAAAACGATATTATTTTACGTTTCTCCATTATCTTTTTGTGAATTTCAGCATATCTCCTGCATACATATCTTCCACTGTTATTCGAATCTTAATTTGCTATTAGTAATACAATTTTTTGGAGCGACTAGCAAGATAGCTGTTCAGCAAAATAGGTTGGGGCTGGCTTTTTTGTAAAGAATAAGTTCTCTTTGAAATAGCTTTAATTAATGCATGAGTTTGATATAGGGACGGTAGATGGCATTGATGACGTGTATAAAGGAACAAAAATTTGCAATAAATGCACATTTTAGAGCCTATGTGCAAACAGATCAATCAACCTGTATGGATTATTTATCTTGAAAATGATTAAGAATGCTATTCATTTTTTTGAACTTCTTAATTAAGCATTCAATAAAATCCGTCTTCTGTCTTCACATTATTAATTGATAGAAACTTTAATGTTATTAATAACATTGATATCTTGATTTTCCTAAAACATTTACCTAATACAGTATTATTGAAAATTTTAAAATAACAGTGTTAACATTAAGTTTGAATCCAGTCATGCGATTTTAAGCGTATCAATTAAAATGCTAAAATGAAATCTTACTAAAAGTTATGTTAAAATATAAATGAAAACGTAAGAAATAGAGAAAATTGTAATAATTTGCTTATTGTGGTTTTTCTGTTTATATATGGGATAAGAAATTTGTTAAGCTAAAGTAGTACGAAACTTCTCCAACTCATGATTTGATATACCTTATATTTGATGTTTATACGATGGTAATACTTCTAGAGGTTATAGAAAGTATTTATTGATGCACTGTGTATATTTGCAGTGTGCAAACAAATGTGACATTTTGAGCAAAAATAATAATCTTTGAATATTCACTGAATTCGCAAATGAATAAAAGTCTGGGAAAGAAGCTTTATAAAACTTTAAAAATGGATATACTGAGTGACTCATTATTATTATTATTTTAGGTCTGAAATGTATCTAGGCCACGTGGGCGTCAATAAGTCATGGTTCATTCAATGGCTCTCTCATTTTCACTTCACTTTAAATTATTATCTAATGTTTCCAAATCTTCATGATGCATTTACGCCTACGATATAGACATTGTAACAAAGGCCTCTCCAAATGTAAATTTTGGGTGTCTCGCAGAAAATTAAGATTACATATGGTTAATAAAGTGACATAATTCTACTACCACTCACGTTTTTCTGTCTGCGTAAGCGTTAGTTCTAGTTCATTTTAACGATTCAGAAATCAAGCTTAGGACTCGGCTACCATAGCCTATTTGATGAGTTTTTCAGAGCATGACTTGTAGCTTCTGTATGTACCTTTCAGAAAATTACAAATATACAACTTTCTCCTTGTTGCAAAGGAGAAAGAAATATTTACTATATATAAATACTTATGAATACATAAAAGGAAAAATATATGCTACACGCGTTACTTATACCAGTCTCTTTTATCAGAATGTTTATATGTTCTTAAGTATCTCTTTATATGTAATATTTTTGACATATTCTAGTATATCATAGACAGAGAAAGAGCGGTCTGTTGTTGAAATATTCCCAACCCTATTTCTGGCAGGTTCTTCCCGTGCCAGAAGAGGGATTTTGCACGTCCGTACTTGAGGCAGAAGTTAGCTAGACTACTTGTGTATGTATACCAGTACTAGTGTACGTACCGAGCCGTATCAACGCCATCTGAAGATCATGTCCGCCCTTGCAGGCCTCCTAAAGTGTTTGCTGCGTGTCAGGTTTCAGATGTTTGGGGAGCCCACAATCAACAGTTCTTCGTAGCATGCTCTCATTAGTCACACTTGACTTGCTGAGCACGGGCGGTCTACCCCTTTCCCCCTTCTTCTACCTAAATGACAATCTCCAGACCAGCCGAAAGCAGTTTAGCTACACCTAGCCAACAGGTGCTCAAGTGATGCTATCGACAGGGGTTCGTCCGACCAACAAGCCGGACAACCGCTCTTCCAGTACCGTCAAAAATGACATTCTACGTAAATACTGATCCCATCAGGAGCCCTTTAATAAGAACATAGTGTTAAACCTTCAGAGAAACCACAATTAACCCCAGACATTAGCTGCTATTCTATGTTCTGTCTTTATTCTTAATATTTGCCCTGTGCATCTGAAGATCGGAGAATTAAAAGAAATACGAAATAAAGTATTATGGCGGAATCTTCTTATCAACTGAAATTTATTTGTATACAAATAAAAACCAGAACTTGCTTAATAAAGATTATCTGATTAAAAAATAAAACAGAACCTTCTTCTTAACCAGAGTTTATATGTAAAACATAAGAAATGATATTATTAACTGAAGTTTATCTGTTAAATATAAGGACCAGAACCTTCTTATTAACTAAGGTTTATCTGTGAAATATAATACGATCATATATTATGGATGGCAGAATTATCGACTTTACAGGTTTTTCTTTCACCTGTTGGTTTAAAATTGTATCTTCAACGTATTACCGATGCCTTAAGAATAGGCGAGCTGTCCTGTATGATTCCTCATTTCACGTAGCAACCAGCGTTAGGAAAAAAATGCCACTTCTTTCAGCACCTTCATTTATTTGCTGCAACTGTCTCACTGGCGTTATTCCACATCATCTTCTGTGTGTTGTTTTTTTTGTTTCTGTAACTGTATCATATTCATATGTATTTTTTATTTTTACTTCAAGAATGTTGAGAGTTTCTTCCCAAGTGTCGTTTAACAGTATAAATGTTTTTTACATTCCTTATGATAACTACCATTTCTTTACATTGTATTTTAAATATCTTCTAGTTAACCAACTGTTTTTTTTTGACATATCAATAATGTTTTTTCTTCATCAACAAATGCCACTGTACCATAAGCAAAAAAAATTAGTTATTGGGTAATATTTTTGTATGTGACTCAATAACCTTGAATTATACTTGAAATATTTTCAAGAGTAAATCTAATTTTGATAACTTTCAGACTTCGGGAATATCTTCTGGGTAAGAAAAATACCTTCTTTTAGTAAAGTAAGGTAAACCATAGGCCTAAATGTTCAGATTCTTCTGTGAAATACTACTTACCCAGAGTAGTGTTTTAAGTAAGATCTTGAATTTTTTCAAGTTAAGTCATTGCTCATGCAATTAATTTTTGAAATGGCATGCGAAGATAAGAATTTGACATGAGTGGAAAGTGATCTTTAAAGAATGTATCCCCCCCCCTAAATACTATATATATATATATAACTAACACTACACTCTATTGTTTCTTCAGATATTGACACTAATTTTTACTATGTACTACTATCGTAGGTATTATTAATTTTTGTACTATGTA